GGGGAGTAACCACTGTCGATGACCGCACGACATTCGTTGAAGGACTCTTCCGCTTTTTCTTCTTCTTTGCTTCGGGAGCCGGCTGATCGACATTAACAGATTGATCGGTCGGATTCGGTTGGCAGTGTTGGGGAGCTTCAGTACCTTCGACGGCAGACTTTCAACATCTGGAGTTTTCCCTTAAGTAAAGCACTCAGATCCGGCCTTCCCGACATCCCTCTTGCCTGCTTAAGCAATTTCCGCTGCTTCCTAGTAAATAAAGACAAACAGGATTTGCGCGCCGAGATCACTAGCGGTTGTCTTGATTCCCAATCAACTGCGGCAAGCGGGGGGAGAAAAGAATCATTAGTCAATTGGACAGAATCGAGATTAAGAAAGGGAGATTACCTCTCTCTATGCGAGCCTGTTGTCGACGAATCCACTCCCGACTCATGTCCGGCCAATTCAGATGGCTTTGACTCGCAATAGCCTGCGCGATCTCGAAGAACTTCTCTGGATATGCGATTGTATTTGGATGACGACCTGCAAAGGATAAAAGCAAGGTTAGGCGACCGTCGAACATAGCAGACACCACGATGCTCGTTTTCTACCAATTTCTTTGTTCCACAAAACCGGAAAGTCATCTTCAATGGCTTCTGCAAACGCGTACTTATCGGCTTTGACATAGAAGTACGAACGCTGCCAATTCGTCGTCTTGCGAGGCTGGCCGGTCAAGACATTGTAACTTGGACGCATCTTCACTGAGAACAAGCCCCCTTTCTCCGCCTTCGTAGAAGTCAATTCTTCGAATACTCTCACACTCATAGGAACATCTATCTCCGCAGCCATCACCATCAGCATAACAGCGTTCCGAATTGAGCCTATCTTCAGCTGGCTGATCGCTACTCCCCGCCTCCTCGCATACGCCGAGATCAAACGTGGGATTGGAAACCAGAGCTTCGAGTCATCCTCGAAGTACGACTCATACAGACATTGGAAGCCGACTGGAGGGGACCAAGACCTCTGCTCCTGGGAAGGAATCACGTAAGTCACGCCCGCTCCTCTGGCGTATCCCAGAATGCTTCTCACGGTTCCGTGGCTAGATCGAGTTCCGAAGACATTGTCCCAACGCTGGCCTTCAGCCCAAGGATCTCGCAGCAATTCTGGAGGAAGAGCACTTAGCTCCTCGAAGGTGCCGTCGAGACGATGAACAGTTGGCCTGCATTCGATCAAATCAAATCTAGCGATTCGATGTCTTAACCACAAGGTTCGAGGACTCTGATCCGGAGACCCTAAATCCCCACCATCCTCATCGGAACCGGATCCTTCGGCATCTTCCCGATCGGACTCTCTACCCGAGCGACTTGAGACGCCCTCTTCACTCTCCTTTTCGGCGGCTAAATCACCCTCCTCTCACTCAGACTCGTCACCTGAGCGACTTGAATCGCCCTCATCACTCTCTAATCCCGCGGCTGAATCTTTATGCGTCTCGAGCCTCTCCCTTCGCAAAGCGTCGCGATGAATCAGGTTAAAATCCTATATTGGGCTTCCATTCGCTGTAACATCATCGGTTTGACCCGTCGCACAGGCAATCCCTTTGCCCTTTTCCTCACGGGATAACCGCCCCGATGAAGCCATAACTCAGAGAAGAACACTTAGAGAGAGAAAGCTAAAAGTAGAGAGAAGGGAGAGAAGAAAGTACCTGAACTTGCAGAGAAGAATAATGAGAGAAGAAGAGAATCTACCTATTTATAGCAAAGTCCTAAGGCACGATTCTCTAAGTGCAATTAATGCACTTAAACGGGCCTAAATAAGCCCATCAACCGCAGAAACGCAGAAGATTATTCGAGATCTATTAACCCTTCACCTGATTCGGTTTGGTTAGCCCTTAAAACCGGTTTACTCGAACCGAAATTAAACCGGAGCTAAATCGAGAAGCAACTGAGATTAAACCAGAAGGCGGTTAGAAGCTAAACGTGCATCTCAACTGGTCGTCTAGATCGACTAAGTCGAAAAGCGATCAGCTCGGTTGATCCACTCGAGCTAAGTGTTACTCCACAAGCAACGACTTAGTCACGCTACTAGACGAGCTCAATGTGACGCCTTCACGCGCTCAAACATGACGTCTTAGCCGCGCGACCAGGTGCGCTCGAGATGATCGCCTAACTGCGCTCTCACAACCGACGACTCAGTCGTGCTACTAGACAAGCTCAAGATGACGCCTTTACGCGACAATAGAAGACATCCTAGTCGCGAGACTAGATGCGCTCGAGGTGATCGCCTAAACACGCTCTCACAGGTGACATCCTAGCCGCGAGACTAGACACGCTCGAGGTGTCGCCTAAACACGCTCTCACAGGCATCGACTCAGTCGTGCTACCAGACGAGCTCAAGGTGACGCCTGAAAGTGCTCGTGGTTGACGTCCTAGCCGCGAGACTAGCCACGCTCGAGGTGGCGCCTAAACGTGCATCCATGCTAGATTCCCCATTTGATCAAACCTGACCCACAAATTCACTTAGAGTCCTGTGAACTCATAAGTGAACTGGGGGGACTTATTGTAGGAGATGGGTTATACCCCTCCACAAGGCCCATCAAATGGAGAAACTTAGCCTAACACGACAATATACTCGGCCCATCAGATAACATCAAAACGACTCAGCATGAGACGCGTTTAGTAGCGCGACTAAGAGTATTCTAGAAAAGTCGGCGGAAGTACGACTTACCCGGACTACTAAACGGGCCTAACAAGAATAAAGCCCAAGAAGGCTCAGGTAAACTAGGGCGAACACGAAGATAGGGTCTATAAAAGGAGAGAGGCAGCAAAGGGAAAAAGGGGGATCCGGAATTGGACATACTCACTTGGCGGCTAGATCTAGGGTTTCTTAGCGACTAGGTGGTTAGATCTAGGGTTTACTCACCTTCACCGTTACTCACCATCTTGTATTTCCGGCTAGTCCGCCTCTTTACTCTTCTCCTTGTAACTCCTTGTTCAGATCTAATAAAAACGTCTTTGTTCGCCCCATCTCTCTCTTTATATTGTTCTTAACCATTTTCACCTCAAACAAACATGTAGGGATATGACCTTATTATCCTTCCCGACTGAGCCGTAGAAATGCTTCTCGTGGCTCCGTATCCAGAGCGAAACCTCCAAAGACTTCTGAGTTTACCACCCAAGATCCACTTGGCATTTTGGTAAACATGGCTCACTCTTAACATCATCTTAAAACCAAAGTGTCACGGACATTGAACTTGCTTGTTGTATCACTTGTGCCACCCTCCATTCCTGGGCTTCTTGGACTGCGTGACACACAGTATCTGGAGGGACGATATCCTTTCCATTAAAGATTTTATTGTTTTTTGTTTTCTAGATATAGCAGGGAATCGATGGAAAGCAAGCAATGTTTTGGTGACTCCATACCTTTTTGCACAAAGTTCTCTCATATAGAGAAATTTTGGGGAAGATCCCCGGAACTTATGGGATATCTGATGAGACCCACGTTTGGAGGGCTATAGGGCATGTGAAGAGTAGATAAATTATTGATTCATTATCGTTGCCGCATCTCAGACATAACCAGTCCTGTCTGGCTGTCCGCAAGGCCAACTACTAGAAGCTGCGATACTATCCGAGAGGACTATGTGATGCATTTCTCATTAAACAAATTATTAGTACTTTGGTTTTTATAGTCCATGTGTTACTAGAAATTCTAAAAATAGTTAAGCTCGCATAACTAGCATAAAGAAGAAAATAAATTAAAATTATGTACTTCTTTGTAATTGATCTTCGTTAAAATTATGTAATTGAACAATTAATGTGAGAGCGTGAGAGAAACTAATATTATAGAAATTATTTTGGTTTGGTATTGTGATTTATTTGATGGAAAAAGAAAGAAAATTAAGGTGTAGCACTATCAAAACACTCCGATCCTTTGATCTTAACAAATTCTTGATGACCTGTATATAATCCCGTAATCTTAATTAACGATTCTCTATCACTCATTTGTTTACTCTCATACCACTTGGGTCCTGTTCGTTTGTACATCTGAAAGATGCATCCAGATGATCCATCCAGATGCCTTATCCAGATGGAGCATCTGGATGTTGTTCGTTTCTCTATTTCGTCTATACATCTAGATGAATCATCTGAATGTAACTATGTTCGTTTGTTTGTTTTTAACTTGCATCTGCATCCAAATGAATTTGTTAATAAAATGAATAAAA